AATTTTTACATTGCCTTAGAAAGTAGGGAGTATTCACACTTTGATGTTGGTTGAATTCAAGTTGGGGAGAGGAATGATTGCTTACTTATGTTGTGATTGGTGTGCGGTAGTGAAAAAGAGAAAAATAAAAAGAAAAGAAAAGAGAACGAAAAGAAAATGAAAAGAAAAAAGAGAAATTTTTTGAAAAATAAAAACAAAAAGAGTATCAAATAGAATAATTTTCTGTTGAATAAGTATTGTGATTGCTGTGCAAATTTGGGATGAAAGAAGAAGTTTGATTTAAATTTTGTGTTTGAAACTATGTGAGTTGATCACTCCCTTAGGTTTAGACAAGTTTTTGTTTCAATTATCTTTAGGAATTATTCCTTGTTTGTTAACCAAGCCACATTACAACCATAAAATCCCTTGTGATTTTTGCATTCTTATGTTGAATGTGAATTTTAGGATGAATTCATAATTTAGTCTCTTGTTTGCAAGGTTGTTGGATGAGTGATAAGATTGTCACTTTTGTGTGTTTTTCATCTATCGATGATTTTTGCTAGGTGTGATTCATGATTGAACTCGTGTTGTTTTAGAATGTTTGGCATGATTTTTGTAATTAGCATTTGTTTCGTGCTTATATTGTCGTTTTAGTTTAGTGGTAAGTATGTTGCCTTGTGTGTACCGTTTTCATTTGAACTATGCATTTGTTTACCGTTTTTAAAACCTGTTGAATCGTGATTCTTGGATTATCATCTTTTGTTTATTTAAGTTGTTTGAATTTGTTTTAGGACAAACAATGTTTTAAATTGGGGAGAGTTTGATGAGTGCAAAATAGTTATTATATTTGTGTATATTTTAGTGGCACTTATAGACTCATTTTATTGTAATCCTTTGAATAAACCTTAAATTGTGTGTGTGTGTGTGTGTGTGTGTGTGTGTGTGTGTGTGTGTGTGTGTGTGTGTGTGTGTGTGTGTGTGTGTGTGTGTGTATTTGTACATATTGAGTATAATCGTGTTTTTGTGTAAATATTATATTGTTTGATAGTTTTTATCTCTTTTTTAGGTATTCATTCATGTTTGGAGCATTGAGCAATAAATAGCCGAAGTCATAGCTTCAAAAAGGCAATTTTAAGCAATCCATCAAATAATAAGGCTCAAATAAAAGAAGAGGAAATCATTAATTTCATTTATATTTATTAATTTTTATAGATCGTTGAATAAGCTTCCCAACTCTTCAAACCATGCATAAATCGGAGTTACGATTCTCAAATTATAACGAAAACAAGTGCTGAACTTTTTCGACACAGCAGGTTTGGCGCTAAGCGCCCTCTGTGCGCGCTTAGCATGCACTGTGACTTCAAAACTCATTAATAGGGGGGAAATCACATTTTTAGGTTATGGGTTGGGTATTTTTGGGTCCCAAAACCACCACCTTCATTCTTTTGATGAGAGAAGCTAGAAAATAATATTGGAGCTTGCATTTGGATGATCTGAAGTTATATTTATTATTAATCGGAGCTGACAATCCGTGAGATGTTTGGTTTTTCTTCTTTTCTTCTCTATGTATTTCTCTATTTGTTGGGTTTTGTTTATATTCTTACTCTGAACATATGTATATGTATTGATCATGGTGTTGTATAAAGTTTGCTTTACAAATCGTTATTGATGTCTTCCTTGATCTTTTTGCTTTATGTTTATATTTGTGTTGTTATAGACATATACCTCACAAATATTGATTAGATATGGATATCTATTAGTTTCTATACTCTAGAGATATATTTAGAGCTAAAATTTACTTTGGCTGCTAAAACTTAATGCCTTCGTGTTGTTGTAGCGCGCAAGACATTACGGATAGAGTAATACGGTTGGTCTCGTGACTTGGCATTAGACATAACCTTCGTTGTGGGTACATCTTGTAGTGTTCATAATGATTTTGAAGAGTAGAGTAGTTTGAGTACACTTGATCGATATGTTTAAGTTTATGACGAGTAGTGTAAATTCATGTCGGATAATTTTCTCCTTTCCAAAGAATGTATTTATTTTCTTGTCAATAGTTTTTACCCCTTTTCTTACAAATATTTAAATGAAAGCTCAGAACTGCGGGAATTGTTGAATGACATTATTTCCCTCACACTGATCTCTGGATACGATAAAACTTGGAATACTTCCAAATCTTTTGCTTGTCGCTTTACTGCGTCAACAGTGGGTTCATGTGTCCTTCTATTTTAGGATTTCTAAGTAAATGCAAGGAGAGACTGGTGGGTTCTTGTGTTGGCACTTTCATTCAGAGTCTTGACTTGATGCAAGGAAAGTCTGGTGGGTTCCCATGTTATTCTCCATTAGAAGTCTTAGATTGGTGCAAGGATATCCAGGTTGATTCCTTCTTGGTGTTCTTTTAAGAGCCTTAGTTTGCATAAGGATAACCCCATGAGTTCCTACTTGAGTCTCTTTAAGAGTCTTATATTTATTCAAGGAAAGCCCGATGAGTTCCTTTTTGGTGCTCTTTTAGAATTCTTAGATTCATGCAAGAAGATTCATGTGGGTTATTGCATAATAACCTATAGGGCCTCGAAGGATTGTTGGCATATAAGATGTTGGAGTCAAAAGTGAGAGATTGAAGGACAAGTACCTTTTGCTGAATAATGAGCAAATAGACGTGACAAATGTTTGTGAAAGATTGAGGGACAATTACGCTTTGTGTGTGTATGTTTTTGTAGGAATCATTTAATACTTTTAGGAAGAAAGAGATCTACTTCATGTGTTTGTATCGATTAATGGATTTGGCAAGATCAAATGTGTAACGAATTCTGAAAGAATATGATGGTGTTTGTTGAATATCTTCAAGCTCATCCCATTAAATATTTACGCTAGTGAAATAGTGAGGGAGCATTTTGTTACCTTTCTTAATTGAATAGAGATATCTAAGAATATTGGAGAACCGAAAGTGATAGCCCTTAGTGAATCTTTTGTGAAGTTCATCTTATAGCTCGAAGACAGAATCAAAGTGAATCGTGCTCTTAGCAACATACGGTGACAGGATTCTCTTGATCCAATAAGGCACCTAGTTGTTTGCTCGATACCATATCTTGAAATTAGGGTTAAACAAATAGGGTTTCATTAGGGTTCCATTTAGAAATGATTTTATTCTTAGATGTTAGAGCATGTCGCATTGATTTACTCTAATAGTGGTAGTTATGATCATCAAGCGGTGATGCTACAAGGTTTGCATCAAGGTTTTCACATGGATGTGGGTAGTAGAGGCTTCGAATATTGATTGTTGGGTAATTGGGGAAAATGGTGGCAGTGGAATAATCGTCGTCATTGACGAATTCATTTATATGGTTGGAAACCATGAAGGATATGTGGAAAATGAGTGTTTTGGAAATGAAATTGAAATGGAGAGATGAAGAACCCTAAATTTTTAATGTGTAAGAAAGAAAATTGGAAAATAATAAAAGAGGCTGATATTTGGTTGTTTGTTATATGCATAAAACTAAAACATATAATGAATAGCCAAAAGGCTTATCACATTAATTAAGTAAAAGTGTTATTCCCTTTGGCCTCTGTTTTTTATTATAAGTTGCTATAGAGAATAATTTGTACTAAATTATAAGTCATTTTACAATATCAATAAATCATTAATATTATTTCCTTTTTACTCTTAAATATTTATTATTCTCTCAATTTAATTTTGTAAAATTATCTTCCTCGTACAATTTATGAAACTACAATTTTGTAAATCCTTTTTAGTTTGTCATTTTTCTTAAATAATAATTATATTTCTTAATACACGTCAAAAATCCAAAATAATTTATAATAAAATACAAAGGAAGTAATACAATTAAATTATCAAGATATTATATATAATATATCTTAAGTGATTGACTAACTTAATATAATGTCAATTAGTCTAACAAACTCAATAACAAGGCATGCACCTTCATCTAGAGTTTTAAAACTCAATTGAGATCAATAGGTTAAATTGGCCGAATCAAAAACCAAATGGATAACCAACTTGAATTAAGACTTAATTGTAGTTTTGATCCTCCTATTATCCTTTTTTTTCATTTTGGATTCCCTTATTTTAAAATCTGGAATTTTGGTCCCTCTGCAAATCTGAGGGCCATTTTTGATGATATGGCGCATAATCTCCTTACATGATCATATGCCAACTCATTTTATTTAATAATTCAAATTATTTTATTTATTTCATATTTAATTTAACGTGATTTTAAAAACACTTAACATATTAAAACAATATAATGTTATTAGAAAAACATAAATCAATAGATTAGAACCCTAAAACATTAACGTGAGATGTGAAATCAAGTAGCTCTCTTCTTCCCTTTGCAACCCAGCAGCTTTATCCATTGTTTTTCTATTCCTTCTAATTTCTTCTTCATCTTTTCACCCCATTTTCGTTATTTCTCTTCTTTTCCACTAATGACTGACTCAAATTTCTCATTTACCTCAACAAACCAATCAGGTCTTAGAAAAAGAGGGAATAGATGCTGGTGTGATCTTGATCCCCCATTGATGACTTCATAGACGTATAAAAATCCTAGAAGAAGGTATTATAGTTGTGGTAATTTTAGGGTGATAAAAAAAAGATGCAACTACTTTCAATGGATTGATGAAGAAATGAACAGTCGTGCAAAAGAAGTGCTTCGATCTTTGAAAGATAAGAGTGAGGAGCTTACAAATATGATTAGGGACACAAAGAGAAATGAAGAAATGTTGAAGATGAAAATTGAGTTCATGGGTTATTTTTTGATTTTTTGATTTTGTCATTATTGTTTTTATTGTTAGTTGTGTCTGTCTTAGTTGCAACACATGTAATGAAATGCTGAAATTGATTTGTGTAAAATAGACAACCTTACATGCATTGTACAACCATTATCTTGTCATTTTTTCTTAAGACAACATTCTTCTTGTTATCCATTGCATACTCTTTTATAGCACCTCTAACTTGTAACTTGTCTTTTAACATCGTTCCTAACTCAAATTTCTTGCTACCTTTAAAAATTGGAAACCTCCTCCATCTCATCTTCAATATCACTTTCTGGTGGTGTCTGAAGCTCATCTAAATCAAAACTCTCATTATCAGAAATAACATTATAACTTGAACACTGTTGAGTTTGATCTTTGGCCAACATTGTTGTCCAAGCTACATTAACATCAGGACCTAAATCAGTATCACATTCATCCTCATTCTCCTCACTAGCCTCATAATCAGGATTTGTTTCACTTTCATCTTCCTCCACATTAACTTCACCAGCTTGCACATCCTCCATATTCACTTCATTAGCCTGCACAACCTCCACATTCACTTCAGTAGCCTGCACATCCTCCACATTTACTTTATCAACTTGAACATTAACCAGATTAGTAGCTTGCACATTATCCATATTTACTTTATCAAATTGCACATTTACTTCATCAAGTTCAACATAATCAGGTATTTCAATTAGGTGTTCAACATAAACATCAATGACATTATATCCTTTAACATCTCCAATAAAGGTTAGAACATCTTGGTCATTTTCAATGGTCGAAGGCCTCGAGTAAATGAAAACACGGGGTTGCAATACAAAAGACATTTTATATTGCCATGTCCTTCACTTTTAATCATGGTTTCAAGCTCCATATAGGACATTAAGTCCAGGTCCCAATCACACTTCATTTTAGACACTACTTCGCCTACGTACAACTTTACAGGATAATATATGAATTCTCCCTTATGGTGTATCCTAAGTCTTCCAGTTTGTTTTGTTGTTGGCCTACACAAAACATGTACAACAAATAACCATTAGGGACATGGGGACCACAACCAGAACTTTGTAATAAAATACTCATGGAATAGATTTGGGACCACAACCAGATAAAGTACTATGTAATACATTTGGGACCATACTTTGCAATAAAGTAGCATTAACATGTGAAAGCAACATAATGGAGTTGGATACGACAGATACGATATTTTCTACCAAGAGTCATAAAAAGCAAAAAGAGTTGAAACACATAACCATCTACCTCGATACATAGGTTGAATTTGACATTATAAACTTAGACAAAATCAGCTTCACAACTTGAACAAACAAGCGTAGGAGTTGGATACGACATATATGAAGGACTTGAAGTAAACAACCGCAAGCGTTAGAATACAAAGAACTTGAATACGAAGGACTTGGATACGATGAACTTGAGATTGAAGACGGAGATGATGGACCTACCAATTAGCTTCTAGATGACAAACACGAATGACCCGCGAATCGTCTTCTGGATGTCGAAGATGAAGGGCTTGCGAAACAAACAGTGATGAAAACAATGGGGAATATGTGTAAATCCAATTAGGGTTCAGTTAAAGGAACTGTCATTCTAAAAAATAATTGTTTAATTTATTATTCTGAAATAAAAAATATAAATAAAATATATATTATGTAATTTTAAAAAACATTAAAATATATCTGAAATAAATAAAATGAGTCGGCATGTCACACGTCAGGAGATTATGCGCCATGTCACCAAAAATGACCCTCAAATTTGCAGAGGGATTAAAATCATTAAAAAAAACCATAGTTAAGGGACCAAAATTTTAGATTTTAAAATAGAAAAACCAAAATTAAAAAAATAGATAATAAAGGGATCAAAATTGCAATTAAACATTAAATTAATTATTAGATTGATCATATAATTAAATTGATGAAAATCGAGATAAATTAGTCACAATTAAAAAGAAATAATGAATTAATAATTTATACGAACCAAAAAACTTAACTTATTTTTCAAAAAACTCAAATCAAACATTGTTTTATAATAATTATTTTCATTTTAAAAATGAATAAACTATAAAATAGAAAATAATTTTTTTAATTTAAAATTTTCAGAAAAAAAAAACAATACACACATAAAACCAAATTTTTTTCCTAGACGTTATGATTTTCTTAAAAAAATTTAAATATCTAATTGATACAAAAAAAATCAATCATCTTTGAATTATATAATCGAGTCAATCGATTTTAATATCAACAAAGAGTTCATCAATCAATGAACTTATAGTTCGATCTTATAAAGTTGTCTAATCGATTTTCAAAACATTTTCCATTTTTTATAATATAAAAATTAAATATTTATTTTAATTTCACATATTCTTATCCTTCCCAAAATAACTAAATCCACCTAACTATAACAGCAACATTAATACCAACCTGAATCAACATACATAAAAACAAAAGACACGTTTCATGTGAAGCAATCAAAAGGGTTATTTTCAAACATCACCACTAAAAAAATCAAGTAATGTCAACAAACCCTTTGAATTTTAACACCATCAAACCAAATTCATGTTCTTGTACTGTTTCTTTCATCTCTCTTTATTACTCTTGACTGCAAAAATCTTCAGTTTCTATCTTTTCAGTTTTCACAACCAAAAAGTAACTTCATCTCCAAAAACCACACCTTTTTCTTCCATGGACACTCAAAATCTAACTATACATTTCATTCTTCTGATTTTCATTCCCTTTTCATTCTCTTCTTTCATTCCTGTAGACAACTATCTTCTCAACTGTGGATCAAATACCAATGTTACCCTTTTCAACAGGCTTTTCATAGGTGATGATTTCACCAACAAAGGTTCAATTTTGATCTCTGCAGACCAATCAATTTCCTTAACCAACCAAAACCCTCCTCCAAATTTGTCTACTTTGTATCAAACTGCAAGAGTTTTCACCAAAATGGGAAGTTACAGATTCCTCTTGAAGCAAAATGGTACCTTCTTTGTTCGTTTTCATTTCTCATTTTTTAAGGCTCAAGGTTTTGATCTAAAAGATGCAAACTTTAGTGTCTTGGTTGGTGGAAAATTGATTTTGAATAGTTTCAATCCTAAGGCTGGTACTAATGATGAAGTTATTAAAGAGTTTGTTTTGAAAGTGGAATCAAATTTGCTTGAAATTGTGTTTATACCTGTTAGTGATTCTGGTTTTGGCTTTGTTAATGGTATTGAAGTGTTTTCTGCTCCTGAAGATTTTGTTGTAGATTATGGAGCTAGATTTGTTGACCCTTTTGGTGTTAGGGAATACAAGAATCTTTCTTACGATGTTTTAGAAACGGTTCATAGGATTAATGTTGGAGGTGTGAAATTAACTCCATTTAATGATACCCTTTGGAGGACATGGATTCCTGATAGTGATTTTCTGGTTTTTAAGGAAGCAGCTAAGGCTGTAGTGAGCACTCACACACCAGATTATCAGAAAGGAGGCGCGACTCGAGAGATCGCACCCGATAGTGTTTATATGACTGCTCAGGAGATGAATAGGGATAATCAATCTATTTTAGCTTCACAGTTCAACATAACATGGAATTTTCAAGTGGCTTCTGTTGGTGTTCGACACTTGGTTCGGCTGCATTTTTGCGATATTGTTAGTCCTTCTCTTAATTTGCTATACTTTGATGTGTATATTAATAGTTATTCTGCGTATAAGGATGTTGATTTGTCGTCGCTTACTTTCCATATGCTTACATCTCCGGTTTATGTTGATTTCGTTGTTGATTCTGATGACTCGGGTGTCATTCAAATAAGTGTTGGTCCTTCTAGTCTTAGTAGTTCAATGAGGATAAATGCGATACTTAATGGCGCCGAGATTATGAAGGTTGTGAGTGTTATGGATTTGAGTTCACATGTTGCTTCTAGGAAGAAAAGGTTGTTGGAGGTGTTAGTTGGTTCAATTGTTGGTGGAATTATTGTTTTACTTTTAGTTATAGCTGTTTTTCTAGTTTGTCGCGGACGCAGGAAGAAGAAACCAAAACTAAGGACAGTTGAAAGTGTTGGATGGACGCCTTTACGCATGTTTGGAGGGAGTTCACTTAGCAGAATGTCAGAAGGGACAGCTTATCAGTCGCCCGGTTCGTATGGACATTTCGGCTTGAAAATTGCTTTTGCTGATATACAATTAGCAACTAACAATTTCGATGAAAGTCTAGTTATAGGATCGGGCGGATTTGGTATGGTTTACAAAGGTGTTCTAAGAGACAATTTGAAAGTTGCTGTCAAAAGAGGCATGCCTGGATCAAGACAAGGCCTACCTGAATTCCAAAGTGAAATAACAATTTTATCCAATATCCGCCATCGCCATCTTGTTTCTCTAGTTGGATTCTGCGAAGAGAATTCGGAAATGATACTTGTCTATGAGTATGTAGAAAGAGGGCCACTCAAAGATCATCTATATGGTTCAGAAGGACTAGTTCAACCTTTGTCGTGGAAGAAGCGTCTCGAGATATGCATTGGCGCGGCTCGAGGTCTACACTATCTTCACACAGGTTTCACACAAGGAATCATCCACCGCGACATTAAATCAACCAACATTTTACTCGACGAAAACTACATTGCTAAGGTTGCTGATTTTGGTCTGTCGAGATCAGGACCTTGTATCGATGAAACACACGTGAGTACTAATGTGAAAGGTAGTTTCGGTTATCTTGATCCAGAGTATTTTCGAAGGCAACAGCTTACGGATAAATCAGATGTTTATTCGTTCGGCGTTGTTCTTTTCGAGGTTCTTTGTGTTAGACCTGCTGTTGATCCACAACTTGACAGGGAACAAGTGAATTTAGCAGAATGGGCTCTTAAATGGCAGAAGAAAGGTATGTTGGAACACATTATTGATCCTTATCTTGTTGGTAAGATCAAAGAAAGCTCATTGAAGAAATTTTCTGAAACCGCGGAGAAATGTTTGGCCGAATACGGCGTTGATAGGCCGTCTATGGGTGATGTGTTATGGAATTTGGAACATTCACTTCAGCTTCAAGAAAGTGATCAAGAAGTGAATGTCACATATGCTAATAGCATTGGTGATTCAGAAGTGAATGTTACATCTTCTATAGTTCTTAGGAATCCTCCTAGCAACATAAGATTAGAGGGAGATTATGATAACAATTATTCTGATGTAAGTACTACTAAAGTTTTTTCTCAACTAATCACTAGGGAAGCTCGATGAGGTTATGTTTGGATATTTTAAAACTTGCAAACTGAATTGAAATAGAGTTTTTGTTTGAGTATTTTATGACATAACCGAACATGTAGTTCTGAAATGTATTGATAGGGGCAAGGACATTCATACTTTCTTATAAATGTTTGGATAAGTTTACATTTCTTTTTCTTTTTTATTGTGACATTTAAGAGATATTCTTTAACTACATAGTGTAACTTTATCTAGTGTAACTATTCTGTGGACATAGAAATCAATTTTGAACTTTTCTTTAAAGAATTTTTTATAATATTCTAAACATACTTGAAAAAAAGGACTATTTAAAAGTAAATTTTTAAAGACAAACAAAAAAATATTTTAAGTCTCTTATTTAATAAAAGTTACATTTTGATCCCTTAAAAACTGATTTTAAAATTTTTTTTAAAGATTTTTTTATAATATTTTAAATATACTTGAGAAAAAACTATTTAAAAGTAAATTTTTTTAAAGACAAAAATATAAATATAGGTTTAATTAATCTCGAAGTCTCTTGACTTAATTTCGTATTTCACCAGTCTCTTATAATGGTTGGAAAAAAAAATGTTAAGTTGTGATGATGTGACATGACAAAAATCAAA